TCGTTCATCCATCCAGGATCCCAGTTCTGTTAGATACAAAAAAATCTATGTCCTAATGATGTTCCCTTACATATCTAGACTGCAGAAGGAGAAGACTGCAGTAGTGTAGAAATATATCCCAAACATTTCACTCATCCCATCAGCTAGGATTTTTTAAAATAAAATTCTTTATTGGTAAGTAACAAATACTGTGCTCTTTGGAACCTGGTTCTTAGAAGCTTGTGATGAAAACAAAGAGCAAATCATTGTATGCATATTTGTGTCTACTTCTCCTAACAGACCCATTTTTATATTTACTTTTCCTTTGTGTTGCACTTTTTCCACGGACTTTTTCCATGATAAGCTGCAATTCTTGTCCATTTTCCTGTAATATACTCAAATATGCACAATTTGTGTGTATTTTCTCTCACTATAAGCTTTCTATGATAAAAGCTGTGCAATGCTTCAGATTCAATTCCAAAAAGCATGTGGGAGATAAACATAGTCTTTAAGCCAGCCATAGTTTTCCTGGGATCTCATGCCAGCTGCACAATCCCAGGGATAGAAACAGCTGCTTCAAAGAGTTGCAAACAGGTCTTCCATTTGCATTCTTGTGAGTTGCAAAGCAGCTTTTTGGAATTATTATTATTATTATTATCATCATTATTATTATATTTTTATCTCACCTTTTTTATATATAACTCAAGGTGGCAAACATACCTCATACTCCTTCCTCCTCCTATTTTCCCCACAATAACCCTGTGAGGTGATTGGGCTGAGAGAGAGGGACTGACCCAAAGTCACCCATCCAGTCTCCATGCCTAAGTGTGATGGTATGTGGGAAAGACCTTGGGAGACTGGGCCAAGAGATACTGCCAAGGGAATGGTCAGATAAGAGACAGCATAGGCTGCAGCTGGATAGTGGACGGGGCAAGAGGCTCAGAAGAGACCCTCCCTGGTTTCTCAGGCTGTAAAGGAGACAGAGGGGAGGACTGTACTTTCAGACTTGCAAGATTCTGTCAATGTAGCTTTACAATAAAGTAGAATTAGCTCATCTGGTTGTGATTGCTATCTGGTTTACCCTGTGAGGCCAACATCAATCTTGCAAGTCTGAAAGTACAGTCCTCCCCACCGTCTCCTTTACAGCCCGGGAAGCTAGGGAGGGTCCCTTCTGAGCCTCTTGCCCGCCTACTATCTAGCTGCAGGCTATGCTGTCTCTTATCTGACTGTTCCCTTGGCAGCGTCTCTTGGCCCAGTCTCCCAAGGTCTTTCCCACATACCATCACACTAAGGGAGGTCTCCAACTCCCAGTCTCCTGCTTTCTAGGCCAGCACCTTCACCACTACACCAAGCTGGCTCCAAACCTAACTGCTGCATGGCTGTAATTTTTATGTGCATGTTTGATATGTGAACAGTGTTGCAAAATTCTGAAAAATACAATTTTGGGCATGCCCGTATATTTTGGGAAGTTTGAAATTGATTTTCCACGTCTAAAGTTCAGAAAGATCTAAAATTCTCGGGAATTCCTTTTCTGTCCATAATCAGCTTTTTCTATGGCTCTGTTGTTGGGGCAGTGTGGGGTGTCTTGTGCTATTTGACTGTGGTATAATTTCCTGAGTATACCAGAGAACCACACTGCAGTTGGTGTGCTGTTCCTTTTAGGCATTCAAATACAATTTCTCAGTGAGTTTTAGGAGTGAGGGGATGTTTTTTTTTGCTTGCTGTTTACCTCCCCCTCCCCCTGCCCTTCATCTTTCAGTCACATCCATCTTTCAGAGTCTTTAGAGATTAGCTCTCTCCTTTCTTCTGATGTGTTACCACTTTGTTTAATGTTTCTAGCTTTAAACTGGTATCTTGCTTGATGGTATCTATCAACGTATTCTTTGTTGGCCTCACTGTGGATTTTGTGAAAGGTTCAAAATCTATTTGGCTGTTCAGTTCAGTGAAAGGAGAGTAGGTTCTGACTGGCACGATGAAGATTTTACTTTTTAACTCTGTTCAATTCTCAACGTCTCCTTTCTCTCAAAATTCAAAACTTTTTTTTAATGAGATGGGCGGGGACAAATGTGATATATAGATAAAATAAATAAATAAATAAAACTCAAAACTTCTTCACGGAAATGGCATGCCATCAGAAAAAAGGGCTCCCCTGCTCCCCTTACGCATTAGAAGCCTCTTTCCCTAGTGGTATCTGTGAAAAACTGGTGTATTTTTGCTTTTTGAGAACTTTGTAAGAAAAACAGACAAATGAACCCATTCAAGCAGCTTATGGTATTTATATTGGAGTTCTTCCTGTAGATCTGTTTCAGACATACATAGGCTGGCAGCTGGATACTTTAGCCAGTAGCTCAGCCAAGAACTGGATGTTATGGCAGATGCACGGCTGTCGCCAAAACCATCAGTGCAATGTCTCACTCCTTTATAATGTCAAATTACATCAAATGCAATTAATTGGTTTTTAGCCCACTTTTCCTCCAAGGAGCTCAAGGCAAGATATATGATCAACTCCCATATTATCCTTGCTCCTAGACTGGACTGTGAGACAGCAGCTTCACCTGGCGAGCTTCATCAAGCAAGCAGGAATTTGTACCTGCCTGCCCCCACCCCTTCAGTCTTTGATGCTCTAAGGCAGTGTTCCTCAATGTCAGCAATTTTAAGAGGTATGGACTTCAATTCCCAGGATTCCCCCACCAGCTTGCGGGCTGGAGAATTCTGGGAGTTGAAGTCCACACATTTTAAAGTTGCTGAGACTGAGAAACCCTGCTCTAAGGCATATTTCTCTAAGCTCGCCTCCAACTATATTGCATCACAACTCTCATGATTCCCAGCTGCACAACATATCTTAAGAGTGCTAGGTTGGGGACTCTGTTTTAGCCACTCTGGTTCTCGATTCATGTGATGTGAAATTAGCATTCCTTGCTGTTGCCATTTGTATCTAATAAAGGAGAGCAAATGATTCTGTGTGATATACCATATGTTACATATTACAAGGGATTATGGGCAGGAGACAGTGAAGGACCTTTTCTGATATTTTCAGAGCCTTCAGGCTTCTGCTGTTATGGCTGAATCCAGCCTGAAGATCCATCTATCCGTACTTGCTGCTTCAATAGTTGTCATGTCAAATCGTGTATGATTTAATTATATTTGTTACAAGAACAACTGAGGTTTGTTTTGCAGGGTTTACAAGATACATTACAGTGTGATATGGGAGATAAAAAACTTTACCTAAATTAGTCATGAAATCCCATCAAAATAGCATTAAAATAATGCAAAAATATTGGTCGCAGTACAGCCAAATGAAGTAGCAGAGTTACATATGTATTTCAATTTATCCTCTAGAAAATCCTCAGTAATGCATACGTTTCGTTCATTTCCATAATAGTAGCATTATAAACACTTAAAAATCCCAACCACCAGAGGGATAAAAATGTCACCTCCAAATACCATCAGAGGGAAAGCTCTTACAAATTAAAATAATTTGACCTGGGGAAAAATAGGGTAGGCTGGGGTCCAGCTCAGAATTCTGCAGATGGGAATAAAGTGTGTGGCTGGCTTGTTGGTACAATAAGGGCATTTTCACATAGTTCTTTGCAGTGTTCCAGAAGTAGTTTTTCAGTTGTAAAACTGAAGCCAGCAAAGTTGGAAGCAACAATTTTTAGCCCAGACAGTATCATTATGTAAACACTGAACAGATGTCCCCAAGTTTCAAGGCTGGGAAAAGTCTCATGGACTCAGAAAGGCAGAAGGAGACATACAATATATATTTTTCGAGAGAGAATTTGATTCCAGTTCTCCATATATATGACTTCTTTCTTGTTTGCAGTAAGGCAACTTGTCCAGGAGTGTTGAGGCTGTTGTTGTTTGGTTCCTGAATGCAGGTTTGAGTTTCTGGAGAAGGGAGATGTAAGATTTATAGCCATGCCTGGTCTGACGTCTGACAGTCCTCTTATAGCAACTGAGCTAAATTATTTTGGCTCAGCTGTGGTATCTAAAGTCACAGAAAAGGCAGTGTTTTTCCCTTGCAGTGCTCAAGTTTCACAGAGTTTGTGGGCAGCTGTTTTTTTCATTGGATGAAACTCTTGTCTCACCTGCCTTCTGGACTCTGGTAGACATCTTCCCATAGAGAGTCAATGTCCTATTGCTGGTAATTGTTGCTATTACCTCTCTTTCTTTCTTTCCCCAGTTCCAACTATCATAATAACATGTAGCCATAGTTACAGATATTGGGAAAAGTGCTACTTTCCAAAAAGTGATGGCATGATATCCTGTTGCCATCATAGCTTTCAAGAGGCTTTTAAATACAAGAGAAGAATGGTGTCATTGCAGCTAGGAGTTTTCCTCTCATACCAGCCACTAGGATTTTTTTTTTTTTTTTGGCAAATGACCACAAATACACTGAAAATATTGATGGAGGCATTATTTTATTTCTCTTTTGCTTAGAATGTGGGAGTTTTGTTGCTCCAGGATCTACAGAACTCATGAAGTGGGACTCTAATTGGATTCTGTTTCTCCTTTTGTTAGCTGGCCTCAATAGATAGCAGCCCTTAGCCAATTTTGGCAGATTTCAAGAAGCAAAAGAGAATTGGACCATTTGGAAATTGGATAGGAAATCACTAGGGAATCCCAGGCCATAGGCTAATTGGGAAGTTGAAAAAAATTCCTTGGAAGAAGGCAATGACAAACCACATATGTACTGTTGCCAATTAAGCTACCTTTTTTATTGTAGTGTTTCAAAGTTTGACAGAAGTGAAGGTGACTGCAAGTTGGCTTCAAACTATTTTGTGAATATGGGGAAATAGAAAGGATTTGCCCTAAGAGGCAAATATCAGAGCATCCTCCATATCCCTTGAGGAATATATGGATGGAGGCAAGTAGACTTTGTGCTAGTTTATAACTTCAGGCCTAAGACCAAGTCCATCTACCCAGATCTCCCACTGGATCATCAATTTTCAATTCCAGTTGAGTCTTGCTTGAGAATTCTTCATTATTTCTGGCTAATGCATTGACTTGCCTCCTGGCAGGTCTTCAGTCCTGATCCTGGCTTACTCCAGGCTGCATCATCTGACTCCTGTCTGAAACAATGAAGAGCAGCTGAGCAAAGAGGCGAGACACCCCCCTTCACTGAAGCACCTCCCTCTGTTATTCCTCCAAAACTGATGAACATGCTCTTGAAAAAAACAGCATGTACTCACTCGTGCCGGCTAGATTCCTCACTTGAAAACTGGATGCTTAAAGTGCTTTCTATTACTTTATTGGAGATTGTTTTAGGCCAAAGAAAGGCACAATCTGTTGAGCTGTTTTTAAAACCAGTATCTAGGGCAGGATTTCCAACTGTTAAGATTTGTGGTCTTCAATTCCCAAATTCCCCAGCCAGAATGCTGGGAGTTGAAGAATTCTGGGATTTGACATCCACACATCTTAAAGTTGCTGAGGCTGGGAAACACTGATCTAGGGGCTTTTTTACACTGCAACCTTAAACTGCTTGACCCCCATGTGTAATCAGCTGGATTTCAGCCCCGTCATCCATTTTGGCCATGGTGATAACCTGGTGTTCTGATTGGACAGTGCTTACTACAACCCCAGATGGTGGGTTCCCTACTTCTTTACCTCTCCCAGAAGTGCAACCCAATTTTGTGGGTGGGTTTTTTGGAGGACCTGTGCTTTCTGTTGATAGACCTTTTGTATAAGCTGACTGCTCCTCATACTTGATTTTAGTGTATCCACTGGTGGATTGGTAAGGAAAAAAAAAGGAAAGGAAGTGCAATTTTATCATCCTTCCTGTTGCTTGGGCTTTGCAGGAAATTGGCAGAATTCTTGTCAATATCACCCAGTTAAAAAAAGGAAAGGAAAGGAAAGGAAAGGAAAGGAAAGGAAAGGAAAGGAAAGGAAAGGAAAGGAAAGGAAAGGAGGTTTCACAGTCCCATCAATGAACTTGTGGGAAAAAAATGAACAAGAAAACTCTTTCACCATTTCAGCAGTAAACTTGGGTGGGGGGAAAACTCTAGTATTTCACTGCTCCATTGGCGAAATGAAGACTCCAAAGAGGAAGGTGTCCACCGGGTGTCCAGCAGCCACCCAGGACAAAATTACTGTGGAGGATAGTAACCAATAGGAGGGAGGGCTCCTGCCACTTATGCAGTTGCTGATTGGAATGGAGGTCTTGGCTTACCATGAAATTAAGCACTATATGACCTGGACAACCCCTTTGGTGCCAGCACAAGGGAAACATTACTTTTGATGTGCAGCAGGGAAAGACAGGTGGAGATTGTCCTCCTGGGGATGGGTAGAGGACAAAGTTGCCCATTCCTGCCCTTGAGAAATGGCTAGTAGCCCATATTCCACACCGGGCAACCTTTGTGTGGTTCAGACCATAGTTGCATTTCCGCCATAGGGGTATAATGCTAATATTTATTTGCTGCCCATTGATTTTCAGCGAAGTTCAGCAAGCACCACGAAAGCTAGATGATAAACCCTCTCTGTTGGGGCACCCTGACTGGGGAATTCCCTTCAAAAGGAAATCAGGCTAGTATTTTCTGTTGTTGTTTTTAAATTTTAGGTGGGCTATTAGAATATTTTCTCCCAAGATATATTTTTTAAGTGGCTTACAATATATTTGCCTGTGTCTTGGGTTTTTTTGGGGAGGGGTTGATTTTTTCCCTGTTATTCTGTTTCATAGTATATTTTAAACTGATTTGTTACAAAATGTACCTGTTGCATATAAAGGGCTTATTAGGGTTGAAAGAGGATTATGAAGAAGTTTTATAAACAAAGGTTTAAATCTCTACATTTTCTCCTTCAGTTTTGAAACCCTGGAAGAGTAATTGAATCACAAGGATTATAGGGATCCCATTATGCAATACTTGGTATATATTTACCATCTTACATAGTAGTCAAAACTACCCAGGAAACATTTCATGGAGATGATCTTTCTTTCTATCATCTTGATAAAATATTGTTTCCCTTTCTTGCTGGCCTTTTGCATCCCTTCCTGCATTCCTGACTGAGAAGTTACTTGTAGAAATACGGTTTTCTCATCAGGCTTCAACTTGCAGTGAGAGAAGGAACTGATATCACATCTTGTTAGTCTGTGATTATGATGGACATAACAAAGTGAAGAATGAGGAATATTCTGTTTTAGAGATTGCTAGAGAAGTGGGCTGAGATAAGAGTCATCCACTGAGTTCTGGGAGAAAGCACAAGTTTTTATAAGTAGTGGTACATTGTAATTCAAATGAAAGTTATCTTAATATAGTACTTATTTGGATATTTGACAGATGTTGACTCCTTCATAAGGCCAAGAAATTGCTTATGCCTCAATTCTACCCTCTGATTAATTGATAAGCAACATTTTAAAGCTATCCTTGCAAAAAAATCACCCAAAGCAGCTTATAAAGTGTTGTTGTTGTTTTGTCATTAAGTCGTGTCCGACTCTTCGTGACCCCATGAACCATATCGCGCCAGGCCTTCCTG